GTGTATGATCTTCTTGATGACCCTCTGTATTCTGTTTGGCAGTATCTTGTTGAGGATTTTTGCATCTATGCTATGTTTGTGTTTATATAGGTAGACTCATACAGGTTGTGTTCTTCTATAGCCACAAAAATAGCAGAAATAAATGTATATACTGAGCCAGGCATGGTGACATGTCCCTGTAATCCCATTACAAAGTTGGGGAAGGCAGAAGGATCACAAATTTGAGGGCTACATGTTGAGTTTCAGGGCACCCTTGGCAATGTAGTGAGACCCTGTCTCAAAAAAATAAATGTACACACTATTTGAGTCCATAAAGCCTGTCTAAAAAAATAACGAAACAAAAAACCTAACTTCCAGTCATCCTAGAAGTCAGCCTCTTGACTTCCACTCCTTAAATGGCCTACTATTTTGAAGGAGACTATTTTCAGACAGCTTTCAGAAACAGAATTCTAAAGTTGTTAGCATGCTATAGCTAAACCTTCATTCACTTTTGTCTTCTTACTTTTAGGAATATCTTGATAGTGGCTGGAATCTGAACAATATGCCAGTGATGGAGCAGTCTGTCCTTGCTCACATTACTGCAGACATATGCGGCATGAAACTGCCTTGGCTGTATGTGGGAATGTGCTTTTCTTCCTTCTGTTGGCATATTGAAGACCACTGGAGCTATTCAATCAACTACCTGCACTGGTGAGAAGTTCCCATAACCTACGATCAGTAATGCAGGCTGAAGAGGAAAACTTTCCTCTTGCACTCGGATGCATCTCAGCTGAGTCTGAAGAGTAATGACCCCAGCATACACGCACACTCACACACACACCACTTAGACTAAACATTCTTTCAAGTTAGGACAGTGCTTCATAAAGTTCCCTATAAAGTCCGTGGGTCCTCTGAAATTGCACACACACTATTTTGTGAGTGTGGCATTTTCTGGGGATAGGATAGTTTTTGTCTGAATTAAAAGTCTTTAACTTTAGAAAGGCTAAAAAGCACTGAGCCTTGCTTGCACTGTGGGCAGTCTCATTTGGTGGCAGTGGTAACCCAGTTACCCCTTTGGGAAAGGAGCCAGGGTGTAGGTACATCACGTCTTCTAGGTCCTTGAGGTTGTCAGGTTCATTTTTGTTGTGCTGATTTCTGGCATCACAACACTCAGTATATATGGAGGGATGCTTGGGTATGTGTGTATGCTGGTACAGGTACTTGGATTTCTTTACTACTGAAAACTCTTCAACCAAAGCCATTCTTTACATCTGCCCCCCACCCCTGCTTCTAAGTACAAAATTATTTGAAGATCTATAACTCAAATTCCCCACACAAGGAATTTGAGGATGTACCACAAGAAAAGGGAGTTGCCATATATATGTAGAACATCAGTTCTGCTTCCCTAGGCACTTGCTCCTGGTTGTAAAGTGAAGATATTTGCCATACCTCATAGGGATGTTATAGATTTAAAGTGCTTTGAAGAATAATGCTAATTGCCCTATTAGTGTTTGATTTAATCTCATCTGTTAGAATGGACAAAGGACAAAGAAGATAAGATGGAGAGTTGCTGTCTTAATTACTCCCTCACTGGAGGGACAGAATACCCGACACAATTTAAGGAAAGAGAGATTTATTTTGTTTCACTTTCCAGTCTATAGTCAACTGGCTTCTGGGCTGGATGGCATGGTAGAGGGGCATGGGTGGAGGAGAGCTGCTCACTGCTTGGCAGATAGGAAGTAGCGAAGGGAAGAGCCGGAAAGGGACATATATCCTCCAAGACGAGACCCCACCTCCTGACACAAGTCATGTACAATACTGTAATCTAATCTTCCCAAAGCCTGCCTATGGTTTCATGAGGCTTTGGGGGCCATCTACCTATAAACGGTAACAGTTGCCTTCCCTTCTCAATGGTTACAGGAAATTTTTGTTTGTTTGTTTTTTGTTTTTTTTGGTGCTGGGATTGAACTCAGGACCTTATGTTTGCGAAGCAGGCAGTAGAACCACTGAGCTAAGTCCCCGGCTCCATTATAGGAAATTTTGATAACTACATATCCTGTAGCAAATGTGATACCTTATAGTCTTAGAAATTCTCGATATGTGTATTTTTTTTTTTTTAGTACTGGGGATTGAACTCGGGACCTTGCATTTGCAAGGCAGGCAGTGGAACCACTGAGCTAAATCCCCAGCCCCTTATGTGTATTTTTTTTCAAAAAGCTCAGAGAAAACTGGCAGCCGGAAATGGACCTCAGATGGAAATTCTTGTGCTTGAACTTTATACTCGAAGCAGGGAAATGTATTACATATGTTCAGACCACATTTCTAATGATACTTCAGCATGAACATTCCTTTGTAGCTTAGTCTCACAGAGGAGGGTCTTAAAATTATGAATTGGTTAACCATTTTGTTGGTGTCGCTGTTGCAGATTGATTTATTTTTACAATCTTATTTCTAGGGGTGAGCCAAAAACCTGGTATGGAGTCCCAGGGTATGCTGCTGAGCAACTAGAAAATGTCATGAAGAAGCTGGCTCCAGAGCTCTTCGTGTCCCAACCCGATCTCCTGCATCAGCTTGTGACCATCATGAACCCCAATACCCTGATGACTCATGAAGTGCCTGTATGTTCTGGGTTAATCTTCCTGTGGCTTAATTCACCACTTGTTTTTCCTCATAGTTAACTTTTTCATTGACTTGGTTATGTATTTTTTGTTATATAACTTAACAGCAGAAACAGCCATTTTGTGCAGTTTGGTACTGCTTAGCATTAACCTAATGGGACTAGATCCTCAGACACCATAAAAAGTAAATTTTTTTTTAACTTTTTTTTTTTAGGGGGGGCCTGGAGTTTACTTCCTGAATTTTTGGGGGGGGGCCACCGGGGATCGAACTCGGGTCCTTGAGCTTGCGAGGCAGGCGGCAGAACCACTAAGCTAAATCCCCAGCCCTTCCTGAATTTTTTTAAAATTCTGAATTCCTAGTTGCTGTTTTTTTTGTAGCTTAAACAGAGGTTACTGAACAGCTTTACTTTGCAAATAATAAGCAGTAGGTTTTTTTCAGTATATAGTTCAGTGGTTTTAGTATTCACAGGTTGTATAACCATCACCATGAATGGTTTCAGGACTGTAAGTTTTATTTATAGCTTAACCCCCCTCCCCCCCACACACAAGTTCTGGCTTGTAGTTCAGGCTGGCCTGAGGCTCACAGCGATCATCTAGCCTCAGCCTCTCAAGTACTAAGATGACAGGGCATACTACCACAGCCAGCCAATAGCTTTAATCTTTTGACCAATGAAACATAAACTTTAAAAATAATTATGTCAGTAAAAATTAGTTTACTGTGAAAGTAGATAGATTCTGTTACAGTTAGATCTAAACTCTGGTATCAGAATCCTTCGTATCCCGTCCTTATGTTAAAAAAATAATTTTATTATAATCAATTGAAAAAAATAATTTTATTGAATCTATATGATCTTAAATTTGAATGGTGAACCAAAATAACATGATAGATAGAACTTCATTTTATTATGCCCCTCCACTGAATTAAGTTGTTTTGTTTTGTTTTTTTGGTACTGGGGATTGAACTCAGGACCTTGTGCTTTCAAGGCACGTGGCGGCACCAATGAGCTAAATCCCCAGCCCCGCTTTTTATGTGGAAATTTACTTGGCAGTCTTGAGCTTGGATTTCCTGGCTTCTGGTCTGGACTGAAAGGAGCCATTAAAGTTGCTATCATACAAAATGACAGTCCTTTACCTGCTCCCTTTCGGAAAATATGAAGATATTTGGGGAAGCCAGATTGAGGTGTATGAAGTTGAAGAGTCCATCCTGCTTAGCTAAATCAAATGTAAACAATAGAGTAACGGTTAATGTGAATTCTTGATCATGATATGTCTACATTATGTGATTTGAGGTTCACAGGTTGCCAGTGAGGGCAGACAGGACTTTTTTTGAGGGATCATCAGTAGTGCATGGATTATAACTTAGAAAATAATGATCAATAAGTACTGAATTTCTATTTTCTCTTCATTGTTAGTGTTTTCCTCATTTTGATTGCTCTTTCCCATTTGTCAAAAGTAGCTTGTTCTATATGAGACTTAGCTCTGGGTGAGTTATATGGGGCTAGATTCCAGGCCTCTAGAAGTTTGAGTCAACTCCTCATGCATTTAGGGATTCAGAATTTAAGGGAATAGACAGTGTTTATGCCAGTATGGAAGGGTGGTGTGCTTTGACTGATGGTAGCTAGGAAATTGATATTACTAACTTAACTGTTGAGAATCAGAAAATGCCACCTGAAGTAGGAATTGGAGCTTCTGCTTATTGTGGAATATGCCTGGCAAAGAGCAGGGGAAGGAAGAAGTGATGCAGGTAGAAGGGCTCATGCTCACGTGTTAGTTGTCTGGAAATGTTGGACCCTGTTTTACCATGCACGTGGCTGGCCCCAGCACTTCTGAGTCTGTTGGTCTGAGGTGGGGCTTGATGGTCTGGATTTCTAACAAGCACAGTTAGTGTTGATGCTGCTTGTTCTAGGCACTGCACTAGACAATCACCGATGTAGAAATACAGAGGTTTAAAAGGGTGTCTAATATCATATAACAATAAGTTGTATGAAGGGTTTGTGTGCCTAGAGAAATGTAAGTGCTTTTGGCGTGAGGTGGGTCAGAAGAGGGGCGTGATGACAGGTAAATGTGAGGTCCAGTTCGGAAAGAGCTCTGTATATTTTGAGATTCTTGAAAGAGTAGAATTTCTAGAGTTGGTGTTAAGAGATCCTATTTGGAGGCTGGGGATTTAGCTCAGTGGTTTCGCCGCCTGCTGTGCAAGCACAAGGACCCGAGTTCAATCTCCAGTACCAAAAAAAAAAAAAAGATCCTATTTGGGGATAATAATACTGCATTAGGACTCTGGTGGAAATCCAAGGTACACATGTCATGGCTGGCTGTTTGTTATTGAATCTCTAAAAGGTTTGCCATCACTGCATTAGGATATTTTCAATTCTAGCTGTGTTTAGAAAGATGTGTCTTGATTGTGGATGTGGCCATATTTAAAAACATTTTAGTTTATTAGTACATGTTTGTGGTACAGAATATTTACATGTCTTGTGTCCAGTTGGTACGTGTACATAACACATGCCAATTCCAAATAAAATACAGATAATAGTAAGGGAGATAGATCATTCTCAAAGGGGATGATGGGAGGGATAAGTGATGGCCACATTTTTATAATACAAGCCATGGTTTTTGTTCAGATACTGCTTAACTCTGGGTATTGCTCTATCTTCTGGCAAAAATTAGGTAATAATCTACCACAGTAATTTTATCTTTCTGTTAACTTTTTAAAGTTTTTCTTAATTTTTTTTTTTTTTTTTTGGAACCGGGGATTTTTCTTTTTTGGTACCAGGGATTGAACTTGGGACCTTG